TCTGTTATATCTTTTGCCCATTTTATAATGGGGTTGTTTGTTTTTTTCTTTTCAGCACTTTTGAGTTCCTTGTAGATCCAGGATGTTAGGCCTTTGTCAGATCTGGAGTTGGCAAATACTTTTTCCCAGTCTGTAGGCTGTCTCCCTGCTCTCATGATGGTTTCTTTGGCTTTGCAGAAGCTTGTCAGTTTAATAAGGTCCCACTTATCTATCTTCTCTCATATGGCCTGTGGGTTTCGGGCTTTGTTCAGGAATTGGATGCCAGTTCCGATTTCCATGAGGGTATTTCCTTCCTTTTCTAAGGTTTTTATGGTTTGAGGTTTTACATTTAGGTCTCTGATCCATTTGGAGTTAACCTTTGTGCATGGGGATAGATAGGGGTCCTGTTTCAATCTTCTGCATGTGGTCAGCCAGTTTTCCCAGCACTATTTACTGAATAGGTTCTCCTCTCCCCAGTGATAGGTGGTGGGGGCTTTGTCAAAAATGAGTTGGTTGAGAAATTGAGGTTTTGCTTTTGGAATCTCAATTCTATTCCATTGATCTATATGCCTGTTCCTGTACCAATACCAGGCTGTTTTGATGATTGTAGCTTTATAGTAAAGTTTGAAGTCTGGTAATGTGATACCACCTGCTTTGTTTTTTTTTTTTGCTGAGGATTGTTCTGGCTATTCTTAGACGTTTGTGTTTCCATATGAATTCCTGTGTTGTTTTTTCCAGGTCTGAGAAGAATGTTGCTGGTAATTTGATGGGTATTGCATTGAATTTATAGATTGCCTTAGGTAAGATGGACATCTTCACAATGTTGATTCTTCCAATCCATGAGCATGGGATATTTTTCCACTTGTTTGTGTCATCTTTGATTTCTTTGAGCAGTGTTTTGTAATTTTCCTTGTAAAGGTCTTTCACGTCTCTGGTTAGGAAGATGCCAAGGTATTTCATTTTTTGTGTGTGTGGCTATTGTGAATGGAATTGTGTTTTTTATTTGGGTTTCTGTTTGTTTATTATTGGTGTAGAGAAATGCGATTGTCTTTTGTACATTTATTTTGTATCCTGAGACTTTGCCACAGACCTTTATCAATGTAAGGAGGCTTTTGACAGATTCTCTTGGATTTTCAAGGTACACAATCATATCATCTGCAAAGAGAGATAACTTGACTTCCTCTTTTCCTATTTGGATACCCCTGATTGCCTCCTTTTCTCTGATTGCTGTGACCAGGATTTCCAATACTATGTTGAACAGGAGGGGTGAGAGTGGGCATCCTTGTCTAGTTCCAGTTTTCAGGGGAATTGGTTCCAATTTTTGTCCATTTAGGAGTATGCTGGCTGTGGGTTTCTTGTAGATAGTTTTTACTATTTTGAGGTATGTTCCCCATATGCCTAGATGTTCAAGGGTTTTTATCAAGAAGGGGTGCTGGATTTTATCAAAAGCTTTTTCTGCATCTAATGATATGATCATGTGGTTTTTGTTTTGACATCTGTTGATGAATTTAATTACATTTATGGCTTTACGAATGTTGAACCAGCCTTGTATCCCAGGAATGAAGCCTACTTGGTCATGGTGGATGATTCTTGAGACGTATTGCTGAATCCAGTTTGCTAGGATCTTGTTGAGAATTTTAGCATCTATGTTCATCAAAGATATTGGCCTGTAGTTCTCTTTCTTTGTTGGATCTTTACCTGGCTTGCGTATCAATGTGATGTTGGCTTCGTAAAATGATTTGGGGAGAGTTCCATCTTTTTCAATCGCCTGCAATACCCTCAGTAGGATTGGTATCACCTCCTCCTTAAATGTCTTGTAGAATTCTGCTGGAAAGCCATCCGGACCAGGGCTTTTTTTTGTAGGTAGTTTTCTAATACGTAGTCGATTTCCTTGATG